GAGAGAATGGCGGTGTCCTCGGCGTATTGTGCGAGGATAGTGTTTACGGTGACGGGGATGTTGTGGGTGTATATGTTCAATAGATGAGGGTAGAGGACGGAGCCTTGGGAGACTCCGGCAGAGAGATATTTGGGGGACGAGGTAATTTCGGGGAGTTTGACCTGGAATGAGCGATTTTGTAGGTAGGATGCTATGAGATGAATTAGTTTGTGCTGATCTTGGCGATTATCATTTTATAAAGTAGGCCGTGGTGCCAGACCTTGTCAAAGGCTTTGGCCAGGTCGAGGAAATCTGCCCCATTGGCTTGATTGTCATTGAGGCCGTGATAGGTGTATTCGAGGATCCTGGAGAGTTGATGTACCGTTGAATGTTGGGAGCGGAATCCGAATTGGAAGTTAGGGGTCATTTTTAGTGTGTTAATGAATTTGGTGAGTCTGTTGAGAATGATTCTTTCGGCGAGTTTGCCGAGGGAAGGAAGTAGGCTTATGGGTCGGTAGTTTTGAAGGAAAGTGGGATTTTTTGGGGGTTTGAGGAAAAGGATGATATTGACGTTTTTCCATTAGGTAGGGAAGTGGTGTAGTCTTAATATGGTGTTGAATATGGCATTTAAGTGGCGTATAGCTTTGGAGGGTAAGGCTTTTAAGCTTGGTTGGGAATAGAGTCTGGACCGGGGGCTTTTTTAGGTTTGAGTTTGGATATGATGGTTTGAATTTCGGAGGGAGAGGTGAGGAAGATATAGGCGATGGGGTGGGTGTGGAGGAATCTGTTAACTGTTGATTCAATTTTGTCAACGTGATCTAGGTCGGCGTGCGTGAGGTTTATTTGACATTGATTTTCGAGGTAGTTGGTGAGAGTTTCAGCTTTTCCAGAGGGGAATATACTAAGCCGTTAAGTCCGTGGAGTGGAAGGATTTGGAATGAGGTTTTACCTCGAAGGATTTTGGTCATTTTCCAGAGGAAATTGTCGTTGGTGGAGAGGGAGAGGTTTTATTGATTCCATTGTTTGTTGTGGGCGTGAAGGGAACGTTTGATATTACTTTGGAGTGAGTTAAGGGTATGCTTATCATTGGGGTAGAGCGTTCGTTGGAATATCCGTCTGGCGCGATTTTTGGACTTGATTAGTCTACGGATGTGGGCTGGAAGAGAGGGACGGGGGAGGGGGAGTAGGTGGTTAGGGGGACCGGTGGAGGCTGCGTTTATGTTGTGTTTTATTGTGGTTTGGAAGTGAGTTACTAATGTTTCAAGGTCATTAATGTTGTGGATTTTTGGGTCTGGGCCTATTTCCGTCATAAGTGAAGTGAAGGATCGCCAGTCGGTGCGTTTTTGGATGGGTGGGGGGAGGGAGATGGGATTGTCGAAGTAAAGGATGACGGGATTATGATCGGAGCTTAATTCGGAGACTGTCGTGATAAGAGGTTGCAGTCTAAGGTTTTGGTAGATGGCTATATCTAGGACATCTGGTCGATGTTCGCCCCTGTAGTAGGTGGGTGAGGGAGGGGGGGGGGGAATCACTGTGATATGTGGGTGTGTGAATGCGTATCTGTCGAGTATTAGTCTGTTGGAGTTAGTGTTTCAGCTGTGCCAGGAGGGGTGTTTGCACTTGAGGTCCCCTGCCACGAGCCTTGGGAGGGGGTCTGGGAAGAGTTTATCGAGGTTGGTGTCCAGAAGGGGTTTTTGAGGGGATTTATAAGTAAAGATGCATAGGAGGCGTCCGAGGAGGGAGGGCAGTATTTATGAAGACTGCAGTGATTTCAATATGTTGTGTGGATGGGTTGGGTCCGGGATAGTGGGGGATGGAGTGTTTAACGTAGATGGCGGTGCCGCCACCTCGGGTTGGTCTGTTGTTTTTATATAGGGAGTAGTTTTGAATTTTGGGTGTCTGGGAGGGGTTGAGGTGTGTTTTGTTAACTAGCATTACGTCTATGTCATGAAATGTGAGGAAGGTGGAGAGTTCCAGTTTTTTATGAAGTAGGCCGTTTGATTTCCAGAAGGTTATGCGAAGGGGATGTGGTTTGTTAGACATTGTGAGTTAGGAGGGTGGTGAGGGGCTGGGAGAGAGCTTGGAGTTTGGTGAGGAAGCCTTTGAGCGTGTTAAGGGGGGTGGGGGATTTAGGGTTTGAGTTTGCAGGTTTGAATATGGTGGCAGCGGTTGAGGTGGAGCGGTTCCATCGATTGGGTGGGGTGGTGGGGGTTTACTGGAGGTTTTTTGGGTTTTGGGGGTGGGAGTTTTGGGGCAGCCCGGAAGTTTGTGGTGTGAGGACCTCCGCAGTTGGCGCAGGTGGGGGGAATATCTCGTTTTTTGGTACAGGCGTAGGACGGGTGGCCTTCCCCACATTTAACGCATTTGTGGTGGGCTGTGCAGTTAATTTGTGAGTGGCCGTGACGTTGGCATCGGTAACACAGAGATGTGGGGCAGAGATCGGAGAGGTTCAATTCAGACTCGTATTCGGCAGATGTTGGTGATATTGTAAATATGTTTTTGTTCACGGGGTATGATGGCAAGGAAGAGTGGCCTGGGGGTTTTATCTTTTCTAACAAGGAAGGTACCTGAGGTGACCCCCACCGATTTTATTCATTTTTACATATGTTATAGAGGACTAAAATCTAAGGGACCCGTGTTTTTTTTTATCGGCGGATAAACACTTTTGGGGGTGAAATCAGGCTTCAAAGTTGGCCCTGCAAGGGGGTGAGTTGGCTGTTTCATATAGAAGCACTCGATAGATTTTCATGAAACAACCGTCAAAATGTAGGGAATGAGGAATTATTAAATATCGATTTGGAATTCTTTTAAAAAATTCATTTTCAAGGGGTGAGCCACTCCTTTGAATACTTCTTTTACCCCTTACGCGAGCAGTAATTGCTCTGGGTCCCTTAGATTTTAATCCTCTACAACATATTTAAAAATGAACAAAATCGGAGGGGGACACCTCAGGTACCCTCCTTGTAAGCATGGGTATGATTTTAGTTGGCGTGATGGTTTGGAGTGCGAGGTCATTGGAAATATCATCTATGGAGAAACAGGTAGGGATTCCTCTTATTACGATTTTAAGTGGAGTCTCTTCGGGGAGTGAGTAGGTGAACATTGGGATTTGAAGGGAATGAATGGTGGAGGTGATGCTGCGGTAATCGTTGGCGGAGGAGGGAGTAATTTTGATACCTTCTAAGGTGTCGGTGGCGGAGTTAAACTTGGAGTTGCTAGCATGGAGGGCATGGATTAAGGAGGACCATTTGGATTTGTCGGTAATGATGGGAGGAATGCGAGTATTGGGAGTATATGTGTGAGGTTGTTGGTGGTTTAATTTTTTTGGGGGTAAGGTTGTGGGAGGTGAGGAGGGGCGGGAGGATTTGCGTTTGCGTTCAGATCGTGCAATTTGGAAGGATTTTTCGTCTTCGTCTTCGTCTTCGTTTTGGGACCCTGAGTTGGAGGGAGACATGCATTCGCCAGGTGAGGTGTTGGGGTTCGGGGAAGTAAGAGGGTGATTTGGTGGATTTCCAGTAGGGTTGAGTATAGCAAGTCGCCTCTGGCATTCTGATATGATTTGTCGCAGATCGTCAACGGTGCAGTCGTCGATGTTAATGGGCATGGTTGGCGGATAGGGGCCGACCGGCCCGGCGAATCTCTTTGTGGAGACAGTGAGTGGTCTGCTCGTCGGGGGAAACCTTGGAGGATTTGCACTGTGAGGAAGCTATCTTTGTTGGGTGATGAGCGCGCGAGTTGAAGTAATTTATTGCATTCGAATCAAGTGTTCCTCGAATTGTGACGAACTGTTGCTGCTCTACCTTGCTCTATTTTTCCGGGCCTCTTTTAGTGCTCGGGAGGCTTGCGCGCCTGCGAGAGGGCATGGGCCGTGGGTCCCCGCGTAGCGGCCGCGGCGCGCACTAGTCGGCCGGCGTCATGCTTGCAGGAACCGGGCACCGAGCTGCGGGGCCCGGCCGTAGTGCTGTGCGAGTCGTTTGACTCGGCCTCGGACGCCCTGGTCCGGGGCACTCGGCTCGTTTCAAGTTTCTGTATTTTATTTCTGGTTGGAGAATTATTCCACCCGGCCCTTACTTTAGATACTCATGAACCTTCGCGCGTCGCAAAACTTTGATCTCCTTACCACCTCATGCCTGTACCGTGAATTCTCAGAATTACGTCGCTAATCTTCCGGTGCCGAATGGTTGACGAGAGCCGACCGATTCCAACGTCGAGAGAGATAACGGCTGTTCTCCAAAATCGACGGACAATGTTCTTAGAATTGCGACTGCTGCCTGATATCTGTACCGCGAATTGTTTTGACCGATGAGAGCCGACAAATTCGGTGAATTACACCGCGAATCTTCCGGTGTCGAAGGCCAAAGAGAGCCGACGGATACCTGCTTCGTACGAGATAACAGCTGTCCTCCAAACATCGAGCAAACGTGCCGACGCAATTCTTGGAATCGAGTGGGGGATGGCAGAATTCGTGGAATCGAATGGCGGACGGTAAATTCCGATCTCAATTGTGTCGTCCGCGGGGGGGGGGGACGTTGCGTCAACGTTTTAGGGGGGTGGGGTGGATCGGGGTCCAACGACGACTTGCGGGCAAGGTGATTGGGGGAAGGGGGCTCACAGGCATAGGCTAGCGATGCGTGCGTGCGTGTGTGTGTGTGTGTGTGTGTATGCGTGTGCACGCACACTAATCTGTCCAGAACCAGCCCAGTATACCTACTATCTCTGCTATTTATAATTGCATAATATTATTAACTATACATAATTAAATGAAAATATTCACGAAATTAAAAAGCTACAGTATTCGTTTAAATAGAATACTGTAGCTTGTAAAATGATGAAAAATGGGATCTTTGAAAAAAGTTTTGTACAAGATCGTCGAAATTGATGAGGTCGATTCTAACCCGTTACGGCAATAGTTTAGATAATATCTTTGACGATGCATCGAAAATCATGCATGCTTCGAAAATCGACATATATTTTTAATAGGAATGTAATAATTACATAAAATTAAACTTCATTTCTAACAGGTACAGCCTTGATGCTCCGAACCATGAGATCCAGGGACGTGATAAGTTCATTTAATAAACTCCGAACAGAAGACGTCACGAAAAGACAGAGACCGCATGTAATCCTTTGTAACGCATCCATGTCGACTAAACCAGAATTGACATCGGTTAGATACAAAGTTCAACGCGGGCCGTATGCTTCAATTTCTGACGCTCATCTTCAACACTTTCAACATCTTCTTGGTCACGAAAGAGTAATCACTGATTCGGAAGAATGTGAGAGCTACAACATAGATTGGGCAAATACGGTTAGAGGTAAATTGTTCAGTTTGAAAATAGAAAATATTCCAACGTTTTGTCATACATGTAATTATCACCTCTTTTCTGTTTAATATACTTTTCGAGATCAATATAATATAGTTTGTTACCATTTGCCACAAACGATCCAGACAGCACATCTACCGTAAAGATGACGAAATGATGTCTTTTTTGAGTCATTTTTTCGGCATGACGAAGAAATATCTAAAAGACGTCTAACGTTACATTTTGCTAAATACATCAGACTAAAAGATGCCTCTATGGATACCTAGTAGATGAAGTGAAAAGCTATCTATAAGATGTCAGAAAGTATGTGCAAGGTGGCAACATCACCGCTATTTCGTTTAGATGTAGATTCATTTACGAATATAATTAAAAAATTGACGAATTACATTTTTATAGAAAGATTAACTTAATTTTCGATGTGTAAGGATTGTTATCATTTGCTATTTTATTTTGCTTAATAATTCAAATTCATGGTGACACGAAACAACCTTACCAATTAGTTTCAACAGGACCGATCGATGCCACTGACGTGGCTTTCTCACAAGTGGTGTAGACATCGGTTCGTTCATATATAAGACCCGTAACTGGTCTTTACGTTTAAGTCGTGATGTCATTCCTCTCCACTGTTTCATATCTCGCAGTTCAGGTACACATTAAGAGGTAATCGTCCCGCCTCGGAGAATAGGGGCTAGGAAAGAGAGATTATCAAGAACTACCCTCCGAAGTCGACGAAATAGCGTTGAATATAAACCGACGAAAAGATGTCTGAATTTTGTCATCTTTTGGCCTTGACTAAAAGATCTCAAAATCCGGTGCATAAGATATTTTTTCGTCTTCTTTTCGTCGACTATATACTATAACCAACAGATGATGTTCCGTGCGCGACATTCATATATATAAATTTATCGCGGACTTTGGAATGTCAAACAAATTCCCAGAAAGGGACTTACTGCCTGCTTGGGCCCATCGGGCCATTTACCAATTTAACAATTTTCTAACGCCGAAATCAGCTCGTAAATTTTAATTTTCTACGACACGATTATATTGCCCTGTACGTCCCATCGCGGAAGTTTAGGGTTCTTTAGAATTTTCTCGGGTTGACCGTCCCTATTCTTTACCGTTTACCTTTTTTAACTTTACCGCTTACACGTGCGCGCAACATGCACACGTGCATACAGCATGTTTTTCCATCTGCACGGCAACGAGAAATTTTCCGATTTCACCCAACCGTATTGGACAGCTACCGACCAATCACGAGGCTGATTATTCGATTTTAACCGCCCTTCTTAAAATCAGTCAGCCAATCGTTATGCTAGAAATATGCTACCACCTCCTCAAAAAATGTAATGCGACCGGAGGAGGAATTCTGTAATTTTTCTGTAAGTCAGTCACTCTCCGTCTCTCGATAATTTAACACGTCTCTCGTCAGCCTTCACCATCATCTCTGTAACAGTTACCCTTATTCACGCGTGAAGAGCTGACAAAATACTAAGTCAGTCGTCTAATCAATATTATAATAAACTTAAGCTGTTTTGTTCGCAACAGTCTCACTTGTCATTCGGGTACCTTCCTTCTTCATGTGAGCAGTTGTATGAATATCTCATTTTGCAACTCCACTTGCAAAAACCAACGGGATTCATATAACAACTGCCCGACAAACTAGCCGGGCAGAACAGATGACTTTTCAGAAAATTCGTAATCTTTTAGAATTCTTGTAGTCATCGTTGTGCTGTTTGGGGATGTTACAATTGTTAAGAAGCTCTAAGGTTTTGTTGTACCATGTCTCGATATCACTGCAATGGAATCGGACTAAAAGTTAGATTGAACCGACAAAGGACGTCGCAGATATAACATTGGTGCATATAATTTCGTTTCCTGGGGTTACGTAGGTTCCATACGATCCCTATACACGAACTTTTATCACGATCACCGATAAGTATCCTGCCGTAGATTCGTTGTATTCGTTTATTATTATTATGTTTACAAGTTTGATATGTTTAATGTAAAAGATGACAAGTGGTGTAATTGCAGGAGCCAGCAGAGTCGTCCTCAAGCCAAAAACTACTGAAGAAGTATCAGCCATATTGCGGCATTGCGATAAGAATAAGTTAGCAGTTTGCCCGCAAAGTGGAAATACGGGTCTTGTCGGTGGCAGTGTCCCGATTTTCGATGAAATTGTTATTTCCATGACTCTTATGAATAAAGTTTTGGATGTGAATCCATTAACGGGTAAAAAGGCTGCGAAAACGAGGAAGTTCCTCTATAAGAAAACTATTTCAGCATCGTAAGTTTCTTATTTTTTCTTCTAGGTACATTGGTCTGCGAAGCTGGCTGTATTTTGGAAAAGTTGGAAAATCACGTGGAGCAGTACGGCTTAATTATGCCCTTAGATTTAGGTGCCAAAGGCAGTTGTTTAATCGGTGGTTGCGTTTCAACTAATGCTGGCGGTTTGCGATTACTTCGATATGGAAATCTTCACGGAACTGTCACAGGACTAGAAGCAGTACGTAGTCATGATAATAGTACTGAAATTACTGATATACTAAGGGGTGAACTTTATTCTATTTAATAAATTGCAGTACACTATTTAGTATAATTCTTTTGAATCTGTTGAGTTCTACTTTCTTATTAAATTCAATTTATACTACACTAAAGAATCACTTTTTATGATTTGAAACTATTGTGGTTCTTAGTTAATGAAGTTCAAAGCCATTCCATCACATTTTACGTACACTTTGCATTTATTTGCCACGATAAGAGATAAATGCAATGTTTTGAAACGTGATGAACTTACTTAAATTATGAATTGATAAGAGAGCTGCTGATTCTTCCGAGATAAAGAGAATTTCGGAATTAATTATATTAAGGAGATGGTTGTTACCCACTGACATTAGTGATAAAATGAAATATCAGATTTTCTAGTTGTAATCATTTTAATGGAACTGTTTATCTTATTAAGGTTAAGGCAGATGGAACAGTGATCGACTGCTTGAACACATTAAAAAAAGATAATACAGGGTATCATATAAAACATTTATTTATTGGTTCTGAAGGCACTTTGGGAATAGTAACAAAAGTAGCTATAAAATGTCCACCACTTCCAAAGACAGTAAATGTGGCATTTTTAGGTAAGTCGTTTATGATAGTGTTACTTTGAAATGCTTTCTTTCATCTTGTTGCACTGTTCTAGTACATATTGGTGTCAGTAAAATATGAATTCTTTAATTGCAGGGTTAAACAGTTTCGATGATGTACTTAAACTTTATAGCCTAGCAAAAGCAGAATTGAGCGAGATTCTATCAGCGTGCGAATTGATAGACAGAAGATCGTTAGAAGTTTGTATCAACACGCTAGGTTTGCAGAATCCTCTAGCAATTGACAATGATGGATATAATTTTTATGTTTTACTTGAGACTTCAGGAAGCAATTCTGCACATGATGAGGAAAAGCTTAATATCCTTCTCGAGAAAGCATTGTCTATGGATGTAATCGCCAATGGCACAATTGCAACTGAACCCACTAAGATAAAAGTTAGTATTATATAAATGCATTTATTCTTTTTACATGTTCATTACGGATACCATAATATTACTATGCTATCATAACGAAATAAAATATTGTAGGTATTTTGTTCCAATGAAAGTTAATTTTAAAATTAATCATTTGTAATGACGCATGAAAAGAAACCTCATTTTTTACTTGAACTGTGTAATCATCAGTGTCACCAAAAGTAATCATTTCCTTAGTATGCAAATATTTTTTAGTTATAATTAACCACTACTTTATAAGTAATTTAGAGAAAATGGCAGTAACCGCTGGAGAAAATATTAAAGAAGTGCAAAAAATTGAAATCATACTAACAAGGAAGGTACCTGAGGTGTCCCCCTCTGATTTTGTTCATTTTTAAATATGTTATAGAGGACTAAAATCTAAGGGACCCGTGTTTTTTTTTATCGGCGGATAAACACTTTTAGGGGGTGAAATCAGGCTTCAAAGTTGGCCGTGAAAGGGGGTGAGTTTGCTGTTTCATATAGAAGCACTCGACCAATTTTCATGGAACAACCGTCAAAATGTAGGGAATGAAGAATTATGAAACATGCATTTGGAATTTTTCGAAAAAATTCATTTTTAAGGGGTGAGCCACCCCTTTGAATACTTCTTTTACCCCTTACGCGAGCAGTAATTGCTCTATCCAAATGAAACTTGGTTAATTTATAGACCAGAACAATACAAAAAAAGTTTCATTTGGATAGAACAATTACTGCTCGCGTAAGGGGTAAAAGAAGTATTCAAAGGGGTGGCTCACCCCTTAAAAATGAATTTTTTCGAAAAATTCCAAATGCATGTTTCATAATTCTTCATTCCCTACATTTTGACGGTTGTTCCATGAAAATCGGTCGAGTGCTTCTATATGAAACAGCAAACTCACCCCCTTTCACGGCCAACTTTGAAGCCTGATTTCACCCCCTAAAAGTGTTTATCCGCCGATAAAAAAAAACACGGGTCCCTTAGATTTTGGTCCACTATAACATATTTAAAAATGAACAAAATCGGAGGGGGACACCTCAGGTACCTTCCTTGTAAGTACAACTTTACACTCTGTTACAATTGCAAATAGAATATTTGTTAATGTTTTTTGCACTGCGCGCTAGAAGGCGAACAGCTCCTAGTAGTTCTGATTAATTGTTTTTAAAGCAAACTTCTACTGGGATCAAGCGTACGGAGGGATGTAGCTTCGCGTTACGTTGTTCTAGTTGAGAATCGAGGACTTCCGTCGTTCGTTGCAAAAAGCAGTGTCGTTTTTTGGAGTCACGCAAGGACTTGCGGTGCCACAAAAAATTTTGCCGCGTTGTGGAAGGGATACAAATTTTTTTAAGTTTTACGTTATTGGTTCGTTGGCGGAGATGCCCAAAAATGTCGCCTCCCACGACCTCGGCAGCGAGGGTAGCAAAAGGGTAGCCAGGTCGAGTACGGCCTGACCATGCCTTTGTAAGATCACGTACCATCCGAGGGTATTTTTTATGGTCTTGTTTACCCAACCCGTCGCGGAAGTTCGGTTCCTCCGCACGAAGGCAAAACAACATTTGGCGGCCAAATGCACACCGTGAGAACGTGGAGAAAGTCTAAAATTCCCAGAATGGTACGAGGTCTCGCGAAGTTATAACTATATACTCTAATTACTACAAGCATTTTTCTTACGGACATAACAGTTAAAATGTAGATCCGTAGCTACGATCTTTTAGTTCAACTTGAATTCAGGACAGTATTACCACCCTAACAAATTTCACAGCAACCTAACCTCCTTTCCTAACCTCACTATTATTCATTCTTTTCAGAATTTGTGGGCACTTAGAGAAAGAATCGCCGAAGGGGTGATGCATGACGGCTATGTCTTCAAATATGACCTTTCATTACCTGTCCAAGAATTTTATAAAATAGTAGAGACTCTTCGGGATCGCTTACGACATTATCCAAGCGTCATCCGAATAAGTGGATATGGTCATCTAGGTACGATTTCAGTTTTTTTCTATTCTATCTGCATACATTCCAATATTGTCCACTATTACCTTGGCACTACCCAGATAATCGAATATTGCCCACTGTTACCTTGACACTACCCAGAGAATCGAATATTGCCCACTGTTACCTTGACACTACCCAGATAGACAAAGTGATGCAAAAATTCCATCAAATTTCCCTCATAAAAGATCATAAAATGAGTCATGAGGGTGTTGCTTATGAGTCCTCATTTGAAACTCGTATCTGCAGTACACAATGACGAACCAAAAACACTTAAATCTGAAACAAAGTTAAGTATATGCAATGCCTCATTGTTTGTACTCATACGTACAGTTAAATTTATCTCACGCGATAAACAGTTGCAGCGTCTGTAGCTCATATTTAAGTAATGACATGCTGGAAACAGAAAAATGGAGCAACGTCATATTTAGCTCACTTTTGTAGCATTAACTGACTTTATACAATGTCCGCAAATTAATGTTACGGAATGATGTTATAGCTCCTGTTAAATTTTTCATAAATCTTCAGGTCGAAAAGGTTGGTTATGGCGTAACTGGCATGTGACTCAAGTATGCAGAAAGTATATTGCTACAACCATTTATGACAAATTTACCGCAATTTTTTGTTCAAATTTATTATGTCATATATGTACATATATTGCAGGCATTTCATGCAGCAAATGGTCTGCAAATTGTTTGGAAATCGATTTTCCCATTGTTGCGGATGCTCGAAAGAAATTCCGAACGCGGATTGCACTGCATGCGAAAGTCAAATTTAGGAGACCCGTCAATTCTCGACGGACTCTCGCGTCAGGTCGGTTTAACGGCGTTCACCACCAAGTAGGGACGATAACTTCCACCGCTAGATGGCATTAGCATCGAATTCGGTGGGAGGTAACCAAAACGTACTTTCTCGCTCGGATGAGGGAGACGCGACGCATAATGGGCAGTGTTTAGCAACGGGCGAAAAATGTGTGCGTATTTTGCACGTATACAACTCACACAACGGCTAGACGCCTCTGGACTAGGCGCCGAAACGTGTGTGACCCTCGGCCGCACGCACACGCAAGTTGGACGCTCCGCCTAGAGTCGGCAACGGTTGCTAAGGAATGCCCAAATTCCTCGCGAGAAACTTGAAAATCCTGAAAAAGGTGCTCCACGGGGACAACGATTACGTCGCGTGCGTTTTTCTCAACCGATCGAGCTCAACGAGTGCTCGTTTTAAAGATAAAATGTTCACGTGTGTTTATATGGGAGCGATTTTCGATCGAGCATCTCCTTCCTAGGTAAAAGGGCATTGAAATTATGTCGTTGCACTTTTTTATATGATAATGACCACTTATCGAAAATCGCTCCCATATAAACACAGGTCAACGTTTCATCTTCGATATGAGCACTCGTTAAGCTCGATCGGTTTAGAAATACGTTCGGAATCGTTGTCCCCGTGAGGCCCTGCAAAGTCGCTGGAGTGGTGAGCGCCCTTAACGATTTCGAGTACATGACTTAGATCCGTAACAAAGATAATTTATTAAAAGTAACAGTCGATTCAGATTACAATTTTCTAATATAAAACTATTAAAAGCTGCGGTCGCAAAGTACGATTTAGCGGGTGACTATTTGGAGTCGCGGTGAGAATTGATTGTCTCTGACAATGAGTACATTTACACGCCCCACTTTACACCGATTTTATAACTATTCATGTAATAACTACTGGGGTTAAGTGTTGTGTAAACGCTGTTTTACACCGGTATTACTGGTAAAACTGTAATAAAATGGCATTTTCACAACACTTAACACCAGTGGTTATAACATCAGTACCCACCAAATACACTATGTTACAATTACATAACAGAGGAATAATATGATTTATAACGAATGTTATTCAAAGGATACATAATCATATAACGTCAAATTATTAACGTTCGGTAACATTGTTACAAACCTGTAAGCATTGCAGTTATATAATATTAACATAACACAACATGTTACCGATATTTTATGTATACATTATATTATTCGTTTTATAACAGTGTTATATAGCTGCGGAGAAAATAGTAATACAAATCTTGCTTATATGTTATATGTAAGTTACATGACATGTTACAAACGTTATGTAACGGTTATATTATTGTTACGTAACTGTGTTTGGTGGGTAGTTATAAAACCGGTATAAAGTAGCTCGTGTAAACATATTCAACGAGTACAATAGACAATGTTGCGTTATCGTAACTTCAGTCATGATGTTTGTATAAAACATTGTATGCTTATTTGTTGCAATTTTTTGTTTTAGGTGATGGAAATATCCATTTGCAAGTTTCTACGAAAAATTATGACAAGGAAATCGCATCTCAACTGGAGCCTTTTGTTTTCGAATTCGTATCCAAGTTACGTGGCAGTATAAGCGCCGAGCATGGAATTGGATTTAAAAAAACCCAGTTTTTGCACTTGAGCAAGGATACGTCAGCGATTGAGACTATGCGTCAATTAAAAAAATTAATGGATCCTAATGGAATATTGAATCCTTATAAAGTGCTGTACCCTTTTTAATATATGGAATTACACGTAGAAAAGCAACCTATTAAACTGACAGAAAAATCTGTAAAATGTACCGATTTTATCTGTTAGGGGTTAAATAGGGGCAGCAGATTATTTTTGTTAGCATTACAGTCAAGTTTCTGTGACTCGATTCCGTAAAGATTACAGATAACTATCTGTAGAGATTACAGAGAAGTATTTGTAGGTGTTATAGATAAAGATTTGTAAATATTACGGATAAGTAATTGTAAAGATTACAACTTGACACATGTAAAAATAACAGAACAATATCCGTGAAGCTAACCGGAAATTTTTGTAAATGTTGCAAATAAAATTATGTAATAGTTACAGATATACATTCGTAGGGTGTCACGATATTAAAATGTTAATGTTAGAACTTCCCAAATAGTACGTTTAATGATTGCGACGAGATTTAGGAACTCGCTCCGACACCCTGCTAATTATATGCTCCGTAAAATTCTTCTGCGATAATTCCGAGTTCGGTTGGGCGATGGAATTCGAATACGAGGAACGGCTCGTTTTAATTTATTTAAGGTGAAGTGAAACGGTTCGAGGAACTTGATCGACGTCGATAAAGAAGATTTTTCTAAATGCCTACGTTTCCGACGTTCGTTTTTATATTGCCAGCTGTGTAGAATTATATTGGATATTGTACCAAATGGCATCCTTCACTTGTCGTTTTCGTACAATAAATATCAAGAAATCGAAGTAAAACTCCAGAAATCCTCTGGATTCATGCTTTCTGGGGCCCTAATTGACTGCCCAGGGACACCATGCGCCATCTGTGATTTCCAGGTCAATTAAATTTTCACTCCGAGACCTCGTATTCCCATCGTTTTAGCATAGAAGCGCATACAACACTTTTTTGCTTTTGTCCCGTTCAAATGCGAGTTTATCGATTACCAGAGTGTTCTAAATTGTCGTAAAATTGCCCTGACCCTTTCGACCCTCATATCAGAGCCTTCGATAATTGTATATTGATCGAAATATGAGAGCTGGAGGCCATTTTGGTCCTGGTCTGGGCTAAGTTAAAAAATGTTTTTAAAAAATGCATATTTTAAATGTGTCAGGACAATTCTTAGATGATCAGGAGTGATGTGTCAAACTTTCGGACAGTTTGGTCTAATACCCTTAAAAAAAAGTGTTGTATTCGAATCGACTGATTTGAAGGTGGTTTCACTTCAAATTGAGGCGCGAGGTATGTCTCGGCATACGTCAATTCTTCCGGCTAAGATATTCACCCCGGCTTCCAGAAAAGCGTGAGAAAATTCGGCATCCGGCTTCTCAAGGACCTAAGCGGCCATTTGCGGCACGGTAGAGATGGGGGGGTCCCGAAACGCACGAAGCGGCGGTAAGATATCGAATTTGGAACACGAACAGAAAAGGAAAGCACATTTAAACAATACTTAATGGGAGCTCTTTTATTTAATATATGTGCCCATAATTATGAAAGTGGTCTAAGTCAAAATTAAAACAAAAAATGTGTTTATCAGTTATTTCACGCCATATTATTTCAAACGAAATTAATTCAATGTAATTTCGAAACAAAAAATATATGACTTAGACCACTTTCATAATTATGGGTACGTATGAGACCGAGGCACTTCTAGACCCCACCAGCAAATTGGTGAATCAATGGGTCCTATACGATACGGAGGAGTCGCAAGCTCCTCTCGAGCGATCTCTCCCGGCATCCCGGGAGAAAAACGGGGCACAACGCCCAAACTTAACGCCCACCGGACCCCTACGGGTCAGGCGAGTCGATACCGATAAACTGGTGGAGTCACTAACGAAAGACAACAAGAAATCGGTATTCACACGTGATAAAAGAACTCTGCTCGACACTAGAACGCGGCGGTCCAAATACAGGACAGTTTAATACATTGCGTTCTATCAAACGGCGCCACGCGGTGACAAAACAATGGCGAAAAGGTTTGTCGCGTGTTGAGTAGGGTGCAAGTCACAATTTATTAACAATTGAGCGGAAACGAATCTTTAATGAAACCCATATTGGGTTTCCTCACCAGGTTAGTGGCAATTCAAATACGGGACGATAGCAGGGCATCAGCAGGTACGGGAGAAGAGCGGTCAAGATCAGCGACACTCGGAATATCCTGGACTATGAGCTCCTAGAATTGGCAGGACCACCGAATTGCGGAAAACCCCTTCCACCGATTTCACGAGGAGCCGCCGAAACCGTGAGGCGCCGGCAATTAACGGCGATTATGACTAGGTGTATGGAAGTGTATCGCGACGCGGTTATTAAGGTGAAGTGAAACACGTCGAGGAACTTGATCTACGTCGATGAAGATTTTTCTACATACCTACATTGCCGACGATTGTCTTTATATTGACAGTTGTGTCGAATTATATTGTGTATTGTACCAAATGGCATACTCCACCTGTCGTTTTCGTACAATAAATATCAAGAAATCGAAGTAAAACTCCAGAAATCCTCTGGATTCATGCCTTCTGGGCCCTAATTGACTGCAGAGGGACCCCCTGCGCCATCTGTGATTTCCAGGTCAATTCAATTTTCACTCCGAGACCTCGTATTCCCATTGTTTTAGCAAAGATGCGCGTACAACACTTTTTTTGTCTTTATCCCGTTCAAATGCAAGTTTATCGATTACCAGAGTGTTCTAAATTGTCGTAAAATTGTCCTGACCCTTTCGATTCTCACATCAGAGCCTTCGATAACTGTATATTGATCAAAATATGAGTGCTCGACGCCATTTTGGTTCTGGTCTGGACTGAGTTAAAAAATTTTTTTGAAAGATCAAAATTTGTAATGTGTCAGGACAATTCTTAGCTGATCAGGAGTGATGTGTCAAAGTTTTGGACAATTTGGCCTAATACCCTTAAAAAAAAGTGTTGTATTCGAATCGACTGATTTGAAAGATGTTTCACTTCACCTTAAATGCTTGAATTATCATCCTCGACTTGTACCGACAGTGGTAATGACCCGCAATTTCAGACCATACACTGTTGTGTATGTAGTTACATCAGATTTTATGCAGTAATTACCATACGATCGCACCTCGTATCGAATAAAGTCGCAAATAATTTCGAATACACGGAAAAGAATTTTGTTTTTTTAATACCGAGGCAGAGTCCAGCGTGAACGAGTCATGCGGCACGCAGTTGTTTTATGACCTAGGACATGGCGAAGAGTTTCCTGCCAAAAACATATTTACACGGAAAGAGGGACACGGTATTTTTTGAACGGTCCCAAAAACTTTCCCATCAACCTAGCAATTTATTTCTGCTGCAATTCCTGAAACTCTCCCCTTTGCGTCCGGTTCAAATCAGCATTTTTTCGAGGAAAGGACGCATCCGCTTGGGGCCTTTTTAACATCGTTTTCTATCCCTCCACGGCAACTCCATTCTTCGTGTACTCCAATCGCAGCAACGAATTTACTAAGCGTTCTGACGTCTTAACCTCTTCAAAGTATAGGTCCAACCCCTCGGATTTAGCGTTTTTTTTTAGCGTTTTTGACTGAACAGTCAGTTGCTGTTAGATCGTCCACAATTAACCTTCCGTACATTTTCTCGCGACGATTTGTCAGCCCTCCGCAAACCTTTTATACCATATCCAACGACTAACTTGTGTCGTAATTTGTTATTAATATATACTCTGTTTGATGTCCATTAAATTCAGTGAATTATTTATTTCACATTAACTCTAATTACGCAATATTAAGTTGGTGCGTAGTGTTCCCGGTAAAAAGGCTTGAATACAATAGGATTCAATGTCTCATAGTTTCAACGTAAAAGTGATGATTTTTCTATTCTATTTAATACCTGATTTTTCTCTCCAGGTCCAATTCCCACAACAGGAATATATTTTCTGTGAATCAATTATAATCTATTCTCCTTTTGTATTCTGATTTTTGTGCAATTCCGAAAAGAGGAATATATTTCTGCTTTGTTTAATTCCTTCTAGTCCGGTAAGAAATGTCGATATTAAATTGTTTCGTATTCCGTTCACAGGAATACATTATAGGAATGCCTAATTCCTTCCAATTCCTTTAAAAAATTTGTATATTTAATTGCCTTGAATTCTTTTTTTGGAATATAAGTTTATAAGTTCAAATTTAAATCAATTCCACTTTATATACCCGAGAGATTAAGTAGTTGAATTCCAATATTTGAGATTGGTTTCAAATGTATTGTTTTCTCCTGAATTCCAAATATAAATTTGATTAAACCTCATGCATTTTAAAAAGTATTTACTAAATAAACATGAAATTTCACATTTTTTATGTGCGAAAGTGAGGAGAAGGTATCATTGGAAAGAATTGTAAAAAATTGCCATTGTAATTTACGCAATAATTAGTTACGCCTTTAATGTCAATACACGGATATAATTACTATAGCGACATGGTCAAAGTACTGTGGTAAATGAAACCGCATAAATAGTGAAATTGACCACATAGAATGATAAACGTAACCTTGCCAATAGGTACTGTGTCCATGGCGCTGGGCTTAAAAGGTGCAGTAGTAATCAACATTTCAAATGGTAATATTAACTTTATGAACAGCTTATAATAACTATAATAAGATACAAGGTTTATCTGGTAGCTGTAACCACAATTATGGTAAGACTTTACATATTGCAAGGTTACTCTAAACTTGCTTATGTAATTACGGAAACAATGGTTTGGCACCGTTAGTTTCGACAGAACCACCAGATGGCCAAACTTCTCACAGGCCATGCAGACAGTTCGTTTGCATATAAGACCTGTTATTATTCCTTGCATTTATGTTATAATGACCCTACCCCTTCTCGAAGGAGAGGGAAAAGGGAAGTTATCATCGAGAAAGCATCCCTTTGAGCATAAAATATTATTTTACTACTTAAGGTAGAAATATATGAGGATACTGACAGGAACTTAAGTATAACGTACGTAATCATAAAAATCGAATTTTTTTCGTTTTTTTCTTTTTTTCCGTGGAAATAAAAAATTTGTTTCAATTCCACAAGGAGTATTGAGATTCATATTCCTTTGCCTATTCCTATTCTCGTACTTTTGAATTCCTTTGAATCCCGTTCCCCTCTATTTTTCAAAGTGAATTGATTGAGATTAGATTTTGCTTTTTTCTTTTATCACCAATGGAATAAAGGGCAAAGGAAAAATCAGGTATTCACTGGAATAAAAATTTTCAATGCCACTCAATTCCAGCCTTCTTACCAGGATACTAGATATCTATAGATTATAAGTACACCATTAAAATGATTATTAGGAATGTTGAGAAACTCCAATATAAACACTTTAATGTCATAGTTTAAAGGCTGCATAACATTTGACTCTAACTTTCGTTATTTATGAAA